GCATCACTATGCGAAGAATTCCTCACAGAGAGAAGGACTTCTTTCGGCAGTCGACGCATCCAGAAACAGGGGCACGATAGAGGTACCCATTGTTGTGGGAGGTAAAGAGGTACAGTGATTCTATCTTGGGGTGTTCTGAACTACATTCGCTAACTGGCAGACAGATCAAAACTTCGCAGACTGCCACCCAGAAGAACCCCTCTGACCATGCTGTCACGGTTGCCTCCTACTCCCTCGCTTCTCCCTCCGACGTCAGCAAGGCGATTGATGCTGCTCTGGCTGCAAAACCGGCCTGGGAGTCGTTGCCCTTTGCCGAGCGAGCGGCTGTGTTCCTAAAGGCAGCTGATCTAATTTCGACCAAGTATCGCTATGAGGTCATGGCCGCCACCATGGTCGGCCAGGGTAAGAATGCATGGCAGGCCGAGATTGATGCCGCCGCCGAACTGTGCGATTTCCTGCGCTTTAATGTCCAATATGCCGAGGAGATGTACGCCCAACAACCCGCTCACAATGCTCCCGGTGTCTGGAACCGGGTCGAATATAGACCATTGGAAGGTTTCGTCTATGCCGTCAGTCCGTTCAACTTCACTGCTATTGCCGGTAACCTCCCTGGTGCCCCGGCACTTCTGGGTAACGTGGTGGTTTGGAAACCGTCTGATTCCGCCATCGCTTCTAACTGGCTGCTCTACAACATCTTGCTAGAAGCCGGCCTACCGAAGAACGTTATTCAATTCGTTCCTGGCAACCCAGAGGAGGTCACCAAGGTTGTCCTTGCACACAAGCAGTTTGCGGCACTTCACTACACCGGAAGTACGGCCGTCTTCCGCAAACTCTACGGACAGATTGGTCAGGGCACTGCAGAGGGCCGATACCAAGGCTACCCCCGTATTGTCGGCGAGACGGGTGGCAAGAACTTCCACTTAATCCACCCTTCTGCGGACATTGACAACGCTGTCGTGCAGACCGTGCGCGGTGCATTTGAGTTCCAAGGCCAGAAGTGCAGTGCCACCAGCCGCCTCTACGTGCCAAAGTCTGTCTGGTCGGAATTCAAGGAGAAGCTCATCAAGGAAACTAGTGCTCTGAAGATCGGTGCTCCTTGGGATCCTCAAAACTTCATCGGCCCCGTCATCCACGAACCCAGCTTTAAGAAGTTATCTGGGGTAATTGACAACGCCAAGAGTGATTCCGAGCTAGAACTTCTCGTCGGCGGCAAATACGACGGATCCAAGGGCTACTTCATCCACCCAACCATCTACCAAACCAAGAACCCTGCGCACAAGCTTCTCAAAACCGAGCTTTTCGGACCCATCTTGACAACCTACGTCTACGATGACACGAAGGGTGACGCGGCCCAGGCATTCCTAGACGCATGCAAACTTGTCGACAGCACGACCGAATACGGATTAACGGGCTCGATTTTCGCAAGCGACAGGGCCGCCATCCAAGTGGGACAGGAGGCACTGCGCAACGCGGCGGGTAATTTCTACATAAACTGCAAGAGCACAGGTGCCGTGGTAGGCCAGCAGCCGTTCGGAGGTGCACGAGCGAGCGGGACGAACGACAAGGCTGGCAGCATGAACCTCCTCGGCCGCTTCGTGAGCGTAAGGAGCATCAAGGAGGAGTTCACGCCGACGACTAAGGTCGAGTACCCCAGCAACGAGGTTTAGAAGAAAGAGGTGATGGAATAATGGGGAAAATGCTGTGAATGGAGGCGGCTTTGGCTGTGAGCTGCGGACTGATGCTATTTATCTTGGGCATCGAGTACGGATCTGGCGTTTACGGGCAAAATAATGAAGGATACGGGGGCACTATCTTTCTTCTTTTTTTCTATTGATATGCGTATGCATGCTTTCTCTGATGATATGTTTATCTGACTAGAATGGACATAAATTTAAAATTCACAAGAATGTTTTACACATTTCATCTTAAGACTATCGGGGATCTGGTCTTAAAGTTGAGAAAGTCTGGGGTGACATATTGGTCTAAGCCATTTCATAGGTATTTGGCTTATATTTGCGAACTAACTAAGCTGATTAGTCGTGTTTGTTTGTTTTGGCGTTAAATCATGTTCTCTGTCTACTCGCTTCGAAGAAGTGAGAAATACTAAGTATCTAGCTACCTTAACTTTCTACTGACCTACACTTTGATATCGCATTCCGCCACATCCACCGCACCACGCCGTATCATGTCAAGTACCTAACTTACTACGTATAGAGCCGGGCGCCAACGGGCACGGGATACGACAGCACTAGATCAGGTACCGATTGCGTAAAGCGGAGAATACGACGCTGCCCGCCCCCAAGACCGTTGGTGGTGGCGTTTATCTATCTTACCCCGCTGTAGTCAAGCATAGCCAAGCTTCGAGCTTCGGGTCCGCGGGGTACGTAGTAGGCGGGGGAGCTTCAATTGGGCGCTTCTGTACGAATGGAGATCTTGTCTCGGAATAGAAACTACCTACCGGGGTAGCTGTAGTCAATGTGCTTTTTGTCCTATGCCTGCTCAACGAACACCGGATGCATTACTATTGTTACGCGGTTCTCTTAGCCATATTATGGATTACATGGCTATCTTTGTCTGTATATGCTTTTGTGTCAATTGATTCTTTCTTCTCATATCGAAATGTCGAGATGCCCCCGAACTAGATGGCACATATTCTCGTCAATGGGATTTTATAATCAAGTCTTAAGGTATCGCAAGGGAGGGTCAAAACGCTCGGTTACATATATTACTTTACCTAGTATGGCATGGCCCCCATCGGACATTAAGATGGCCACCCTCCGGCGGCATCCTTCCAAGCCTCAGTCCCCAGAACGACATATTGACGTGATCTTCCGGGGTTCGCAGTAAATACTACTGTATATTTGCACTTGTCGGAAGACTCGGGGGACCATATCTTATTCCCCTCTCCCGGCTGCCCCTATGCCTATTACCCTCCCTCTCAACTACAACATCAATTGCTTCCTTGCCATTCTACAAAGCCAGGGTTCATTATTCGCCCAAAAGGGAAGGCAGTGTAGATAAATAGTCACAGACCGAGGTTAGCTGGTAGGTACAAGGAACAAGCAGCAGAAATCATGGCAGACGAAATCAAGCCCTTCACCATCGCCATCCCAGACGCCGGGCTCGAGGACCTGCGCGAGCGTCTCCGGCGCACGCGCTTCCCCGACGAGCTAGAGGGCGTCGGCAAAGACATGGGGGCTCCCCTCAGCGACGTCAAGAGGCTCGCAACGTACTGGGCAGAGAAATACGACTGGCGCAAGGCCGAAGCAGAACTGAACAAGCTCCCGCACTTCACGACGACCCTCCAAGCCACCGGGTTCGAACCCTTGGAAGTGCACTTCGTACACGCGCGGAGCAGTCGTGCGGACGCCATCCCATTGCTCTTCTCGCACGGCTGGCCCGGTTCCTTCCTCGAAGCAACCAAGCTTCTGGCACCGCTCACCGAGCCGTCGGACAGCGCCCAGCCGGCCTTCCACGTCGTCGCGCCCTCGCTGCCGGGCTACGGCTTCTCGCAGGCGTCGCGCAAGCGCGGGTTCAGCGCGGACCAGCACGGCGAGGTCTTCCACAAGCTGATGCTACGTCTGGGCTACGACGAGTACGCGACGCAGGGAGGCGACTGGGGCTTCATCATCACGCGGGCCATGGGACGGCGGTACGCGCCGAAGCACATCAAGGTGCAGCATTTGAACATGGATAGTTTCCCGCGGCCGAGCCTGTGGCGGAACCCGTTTACGTTCTTGCGGACCATGGTCGCGGCAATGGTTACGGGGTTTTCCGAGAGGGATAAGAAGGGCTTTGAGCGCTCGAAGTGGTTTAGGGAGGAGGGGCAGGGGTATTTTGGTGGTATGTGTTCTTACCCTTCACTCCTATGCACAGAATTCTTAGTGGACTTCTATCCTGGATCTTGCAATCGCAATCTCTCGTGGTACCATATAATTGGTATCATAGATTTCTTCATATCCTGTTCTCCTTTTGGGAGAATCTGGTTCGAGATAGCCGGAGAAGACTAAATTGCTCACATGACCACAGTCCAAAGCACAAGGCCGCAAACCATCGGTTACGGCCTCACAGATTCGCCAACGGCGTTACTTGCCTGGATCTACGAGAAGCTCGTAGACTGGACCGACGAGTACCCCTGGACCGAGGACGAGGTATGCACCTGGATGAGCATCTACTGGTTCTCGACAGCCGGGCCGCGCGCCTCCGTCCAGTTATACTACGAGATTATACACGCCAAGAGCACCGCGGCGACGTCGACTCTCGAGGACATCACGGCCTGGCAGAATGTGAAAGTCGGGCTGTCGCACTTCCCTCGGGACGTCATTGTCCTGCCCGGGTCCTGGGCACAGGTTATCGGGAACGTGGTGTTCGACAAGTATCATGACGGAGGGGGACATTTTGCGGCGTGGGAACGCCCCGATGAGCTTGTGGCGGATCTGAGGGAGATGTTTAGTACAGTCGCTAAGGGCGCGGTGAAGACTGGTGCCAAGCCAAATTTGTAAAGGGGGTGATGAGTAAGACTGAGGATTCTTAGCTATTAAAATATAATTAGTTTTCAAGTAACGATATCGGGTTTATATTGTGGCAGACATCAAAAGTCCAAATAAGCAATGAAGTCAAGTAGCTTTAAGAATATTTATATAGCTTGATGCCATAAGAGATTAAAGCAAAATGGGTGTTGAAATAAACAGGAGGTTAGACTGTGCCACATCAAATATGCAATCTCAACGAACAGTAATTAACAATGCCAGACTAGAGCCTAGGGTTTTCGAGTATAAAAGGGGATTGGTATCTCCATGTTGTTGGGGGGGGGGAAGGGGCAGGGGAATGGTTAAAAAGGAAATGATAGAAATCTAAGGATGTCGAAATCCAATGAAGAATAAAATTTAAAGTCTGATTCTCGACCTAGAATATGAGTAAGCCTTGACATCATAGCAGATGTCTAGAAAACCTATGCAAGCGAAAGAGGGAAAAAGGAAAAGAAAAGGAAATATAATTGACACCATCACGGAGGTTCGAACTCCGGTCCCCAGAGTGAAAATCTGGTATCCTAAACCACTAGACGATGATGGTTGGCGCCTTGTTGAGTTGTCTGTTTGCTACCGTGCTGCAGATGATAGGCCTACCTCGGTTTACGTATGCTTATCGAGGTATCCCGTACCAGGGGATCTTGAGGAAGGTAGGATACCGGGTAGGTACCTCGGTACCTCAGCACCGGTGTAGGGCAACATTATTGTCTCTTGTGACGGTCCCGGTCGTAAGAAATTTAATTGACCATAGAAGACGTGGTCTAATATCATGTCAGGAGAAGAAGAAACAAAAAAACTCGTAAACGAAGGTCTCGATTAGCCATTCATTTTCAGTGTCACTAGGTGACTCTAACTATCCATTTGCGTGGAACCGCGTAATATTAAGTACTAAGTGCACTACACAAAGTCGAGGTACATTAGGAACACAATGTAACAGCAATGCCCAGCGTCTCCTCTTGTTAATAGGTTACCTAATATAGAGATCTATCATGCGTTATTTAACCTAAGACGCACATTATATCACTCAAAAGAGCGCATGAATATGTCGACGTTGATCAATGACATAAAATATTGGAGATTATTTCTTTATGTACAAATAGTATTAGTAGTGTTGAGGTAGTACCAAAGCCAGAATCATTTATTTTCTTTTTGGCAATGCTCCTGCTCTTGTATGCTCCTATTTTCCCTAGGTAATGAAGTGATCCGATCTTTATTACATATCAGTGGTTCTCTGTCCTTCATTCTGCTTATGGTAGAGACATAGCTCACTTTAGAGGATCAGATGCAGAGGGAGACAAAACGTTTCCCATCATTAATCTGAACTCATCGAAACCCCGATTTAATTGCATGATAGGCACATTCATACAAACTTCGTGACGTAGCCAACTGATGAGACAGGTACTACTTACCCCTGATACTACTACGCACAGCTGTACTACCCGCCGCAAGTAAGATTTAGTTACTTGGATTCGCGTTAGAAGCGAGAGACTCATCACTGTATGAGACTGAGTTACGTTCCCTGGTACATATCTCACTTCCAATAGTTAGCGACGGCTGGCCTAAGTTGTCCTTAAAGATGGTATTCGTCCTTCCTATCTAAGCATCTAACTCTTATGTTTTTTTTTACGATTCTACAGAGCTTCATTCCTAGGGTTCAAAAGCAAAAGCATTATCATTTCTTATGTAAAATGATTAAAATGAAGATACTCCAGGTATTCCAGCAGCTATGGTGGCAGCGCAAAGCGGATAACTCGGGGAATTACCATCTGCTCCAAAATGAAGCCGACTACCTCGAGAAAGAAGAAGACAGGGAAAGCTCTGTCTCCTCCGTCGAATCTCAAGCACCGCGCGCTGGGAAACATATAACCAGAAAGAGAATACCGGCTTTCCGATGCCTTCGAATACTCAAGGTTCTTATTCCCAGCTTCCTCCGCTCGTCAACCGCTCCAGTCGAGCCCAAGAGACAGCGGCCTACGGCCTGGTTAGGTTAGTGTATCCGTTATACACATATGTATCTTATATGGTCCAACTGATAAATAAAGATGGGCTTCGCGGTATTGCGGCATTTTTCGTGGTTCTACACCACATGTCGCTTATCTGGTTCTCCTGGGACATTCATAACGGCTGGACTGACTGGAACGACCACCTCATCCAGTTTCCTATCATCCGCTTAGCTATCTCAGGGAAAGCAAATGTCATGCTCTTCTTTGTGATCTCAGGTTACGCTCTAAGCTGGAAGCCATTAAATCTCATTCAGAACGACGAGCATCTCAAGATGTACCAAACACTAGCATCCTCCATCTTCCGCCGCCATCCCAGGTTGTTCATCCCAGCCACTATCATATGCGCTCCGGCTCCAGTGATTGCGTATCTTGGAGGCTTTTCCGGACAAGGTATGCCCGGCGCTGCCATAAAACCGACCAACCCACCCCGGTTTGAAACTATCTGGGGCCAATTGGAAAACTACGCAGCATCCCTGATGCCCCTTTCTGACTTTTATGGCCCCGGCCCCATCCCCTGGATCTATAGTGACTCTTTATGGACGTTTCCGGTAGAGTTCAAGAGCTCACTCGTTGTGTTTTCCTTGTTGCTTGCGCTGTCGAGGTGCAAGACACGATCGCGCGTCGTGATAACGTTGTGTGTCGCTTTATATTCATTCTGGTATCTTCACTGGGGCGAGTTCCTTTTCGTAGGAGGCATGCTCGTCGTCGAATTAAATCATCGATCTCGGCGATCGACTGGCGCGAGGGAACCAGAACTTGACGAAGACGAACACGACGTCGAAGTATGGCGAAGCAGGTCGCTGTGGTTGATCAGTTTGAGAACCAAAATTCTCCATCGACTATGCTCAATTGCTGTGTTTCTGACTACATTGTTCGTCCTCAGTCTGCCAGAGCATGACCGACACGCTTCCGATAGCTATGGTTACAAGACACTGGTCCACCTGATTCCCGCACATTTTCATGACATGGGGGCTGCGGACTACTTCTGGCAACCGATCGCGGCGGTATTTCTTGTGCTGGTTATTGACAACACCCGGTTTCTGCAATGCATGTTTACGACTCGACTTGCACAGTACCTCGGCCGTGTTTCGTTTGCTCTTTATCTAGTGCATATGTTTATTCTACACAGCCTGGGCTTCTGGCTAGGAAAGTATTTTCTACGACTCACGGGGTCGGACTCGCCGTGGAAGTATGGTACAGGCATTAGTCTGGCTGCTATTACTGTCGGTTTTATAATTATGTGGGCTGCTGACTTGGGCTCACGTTTCGTGGATGCTAATGCAGTTCGATTTACGGTGTGGGCTTACGGCAAATTGTGCAAAACTACAGGCGATAGCTGAGGGAGGTAAAGCCGATAGAGAATAGGTATATTGGTGATAGATGCAAATTATCGGTGTTCTGGTTAAGGTTTCACTGGAACAGTCAAACCTGGGCACTGGCAGACACCCATAATACTGAGTATACAAGAGAAACTCTATGCTGCGGGTTCTAAACAGTGACAAGCCCCCTTCAATGTTTCAGGCGTGAGGTAACCTTCTATTTTGAGTATCAAGGATCTTTGCGGTAACGCTGAACCTATCAATCGTTAAAAGGGAGGTAGGCAAGTTCTTGGTACGATTAATGACCTTAGAGTTGCGTGTGTGTCCCGTAGGGCGTTCTGGTGCGGGAAAAAGGGCCTCCCCGGAACGCCACAACTGACCCAATGCAACGTCGGGAGGTAGATAGAGGCCTATGGTTTTCACATGATAGCTGGTAATACAAACCCCAACCCGGCTCCTGTCGAAGGGCTCAGACCTAGCGCAGGGGCTTATCTTGGAACGACTGCGGAGGTCATTACCTCCACGTCAAAGTGGCTTGTATACTTAGTCCTAACTAGGATCAGCCCGAAGACGGACACACAACTTCTCTGAATAACTTTACAAGCCAGTCTTGGGTAAGTAAAGTGTTATAAATACATGATACACTCACTTAGCACTCTTAGTTTCGGGATTTAAAGTGGGAAACTAGGGCACCGGAGACGTTAAGGCTATTCCGGATAATCAAGGTTATTTGACACTTGAGAAGATTCTTTGTGATTCGCAGCCATTTCTAGACACTTCACCGTAGTTCTTGTTATATCGACACAGTATCGAGCTTGAGATGCTAGACAGAAAACGCCTCAAGGCCGAAAAAAGAATTTGTAGCTACGTTCATGACAGCTGATTATTCGACAATCCCTCCAAATCAAGGAAAAAAAGAGAAATGGCTTGAACCAAGGGCGCTGAATATTGAAAACCGACGAATGAACAATAGTACGAGCCTAGATAGAATTCTGCCGGGACTGGGGAAAATGCGCTACGAGGCTATAAAGGCCCCGGGTTTGAGGGGGTTAAGGGGCTGTCGTCAAGGCGCCAATGGTTGGTTATAAATATACCCAGGATGAACAGACATTATATCGGATACCTTTCTCTAGAAAATACTCATACATTGTATGAGAGCTAATAATCAACATCGCGGTGATCAAACAACCTTTTTGCCAAAAGCTTTTCGAACTTGTTAAGTATCAGCCATGACCTTCCAAATTTCATCACGAGTGAGAGCGATTGCCTCGGAAATCTGTGAATCAGACTGTATTCCAGGATATCTGGATGATGCCACCACCTTGAACCTTGCTACGGCAGAGAACTGGCTGATTCGCAAAGAGCTTGCAGAATTGTACCGCGGGCTGGTCCAGAACCATCTAGATTCTAGTGTTAGTAACTTCAGACTATGCTCTGCTCCAACCTAGTCCCATTTGCACTAGAATCACTTACACTCATATCAGACCTTATCATATGGAAAAGGGTTCGGAGGTGACCCGGAGTTGCTGGAGGCTACTGCCGCCATCTTTAATAACTACTTCAACCCAGCTCACCCAGTCTGCCCCGATGATGTGGTTATTACTACAGGGGCTAGTTTGTGCCTCGACGCTCTGATGTACAGCTTATGCGAGGTGGGAGATGAAGTGCTTATTACAGCCCCGTATTGGAGTAAGTGTTTCTTTGCATCTCTTATAGCCAATTCCATAGACCTTCGCGCTATCACCCTAAATACAGTTCAGATTACTCTCACCTTTGGGAAGTTCAAGGGAGCTAATCCGCATCACCACAATTTAGACGGGTTCGACAAACATCTAGTCTTGAGAACAGGCGTCAAATTGCTACCTATCTATGAGCCATCCGCCGATATTGGGTTGACTCCTCTAGAAGATCTCCTCAAGGGCTCTCTAGTGCCGGCTCTCACGCAGGCCTACGAGTCAAGCGCCGATCCAAGCCGCGTAAAAGCTCTGGTGATCACGAACTCACATAACCCGTACGGACGCTACTATCCAGAAAGCGTCATCCGTGAAGCTATGCTGTGGTGTGGCGAACGAGGAGTGCATTACGTCTCAGATGAAGTCTATGCATTGTCGGAGCTGATGGCCCCGGAAGAAGGCTTGCGAGACGGCGACCAGAACATCCGTGAAAAACCGACAAGTTCTTTATTTGTCTCAGCACTTTCGGTGAGGTTTGAGGGTGATGAG